CTGTTATACCAATTATAAATACACCAATATTATTATAAATATACCAATAGTAATTGTTTGTGTTAACTTTAACAATCATGTTCCTTCTCAAATCCTGGAAGGAGCTTAACTGAGCTGGCAGAGAAGGAAAAACATTCCTTACAATTTGAACACTACGTCCTCCAACTTATTGAATTATTATAGCCTCATCATCTTATTTCTAGAAGGCAACCCTATTATTAAAAGCCAACTACTCTAAAAGCAAAAATCACAGGTACTTAGTTAAAAGTGTCAATTCAGAAAGACAATGTAATATAGAAGTCATCTGATGCTATAAATTTTATCCTTTCACAAAAGTCAGTTTACTGGAAATTGAGAGGTGAGCTTCCCAAGTGGTCATTCCTGCTAAATGAGTCAAAGTAGAGAAAAACCAGAAAATTCTTGCATGTTTATATGAAAAAATACAAATAAATTTGCATTATTGCTCAATATACACCTATTAAACACACTCAAACATGGCATGTGAGCGCATTCTGTATATATTAGAATGACAACTAGCATTTTCTCCATGTGGAAAGCCCATGCATTATAGCCTTAGAACAAGACAGAGGTAACATCAGAGACAGAGGTGAGTTAACCTTATCACAAAATTCAAACACCTCAAATTTACTGGGAGGCTTCAAGAAAACTTGGATGAAATTAAAGTCAAGTGCAACATTCAGTACTAAATGCAGTCAAATCTTTGTCTCAAATGGGGTTTTGAAAGAACATTTCCAACTGTTAGCTTACAAGCACCTTTTATTCTTTGCCTGGACTTTGGACATGTTCCATCTAAGTACTGAAGCACTTAATGGTGGAAAGACAAGGAAGGCCATTTCAGCCTTGCATAGTTAACATACATTTCTCTTTGGACTGTAAGCAATGTAGTGGAATGTGTCTGTCTGTACTCCCATGTGAACTTTCCTGATAATGGTGACCTAAGAACAGCACATGCAGCAAGTTACACTCATTAACTCTTTGCGATACCATCAATACAAATTTCAGATTCACCAAAAGTGCAGTATAAAAACCTTTAAATAAAAACTATGAACAAAAAAGCCAAATCACTTCACTACTCTGCCAAAGCAAAAAATCCAGGAGAAAACTGGCACTGTTCTCTTGCAACTAAGTCTTTATTTACAGTTGGTCAGGATACTGCTATTCTTTGGGCTAAGTGCTTAATAAGAATTTTCAGGAATCAAATTATGCAGCTATCTTCAGGTTTCTCAATAGATAGAAAGTCCCTCTGGTCATTTCCATATGCAAAATCCACCATCCTTCTTCCTTTGTCCAGATTTAGGATATTTGATTTTCATTCACCCTGCTACTGATTAAACCACTGGAAAATCAAAATACCATTTAGCAGTCCTATAGGTATAACTACAAAAGTGCCATGAGCCCATGCAATTTGCTAACTAAATTTGATGAAAATCAGCTTTGTGGGCTCTATAAAGACCCTGTTGTTACAGAATGAAAAGAAAGATATATCTCTATTCTCCCTGTTCTCTGAAAGGTTCACTATTTGAAGATACCATGAATGTTCTACCATCATTTTAAAGATCTCAGCACTAGTTCAAAATTTCAAAATACATAAGTTGTTTTCAGTGTCAGGTTGTAAATTTAGACTATTTAATCTATCATCTTTGTATTAAATTTAAATCCAGCCCATATTTTGTAGCCTTGAGCATCTGTGCATTGTCAACAAGATACTTGAAATGGCAACATAGAAGAATATCTATTTGTTTAAAATTAAAGCAAATTCATCTCAAGTTTCCCTTACCCTTAATGTTTCTTTTCTTTGATGTTGTTTTCCTATATAATCTCCTTGCGACTTGGAAAGAAACCTTGTTTTTATAAGAATTCCATGTTCAGGTGGCTGCTACATGACAAAGCAATGCTCAGTATTTTTCAGTACATTGTCATTAGAAAGGGAGAAGTCTCCAGTTCCATTTACATTATTGAATCGATAAAGACCAAGATTCAAGTACACTGATTTTCCCTGTTCACTTTCCACTATTTGTCAAAGAAAAGTCTATGAACATAAATCATACTTATGTATACATGAATATTAGACTAATACTAGTTCAAAGTGTAACATATATCGAAACTTGAGCCTTCACAGATCAGAACCCAGTACCACTAGACCCCAAACACACCACCCAATCTTAGTTTTCCACTGATACGTTGAAATTCTTTTAAAGAGAAAACACTACACCCTATGCTTTAGAAGAGATGACCCTGTTCAGCTCCAGGAGAAAAAAATTCAACAGATTTCAGCGATACTGGTAAAAACTGATAAAGTAAAAAACTAGAAGGCATATTTACAAAATTCACAAGACATAGTAAGTCTTTTTATCCAAGTATCTTGTATGTATGTCTAGTCACTTTGGAAAGCACCTTCATTTTAATAATATACTACTAAATTATTAAATACATTGCTGTCAATTTGTCTTCTGGATAATTGTGCCATGTGATATGCATATTTATTTTCTTTAAAATATAGAATTATCAGCTAACCTGTCATTGAGAAATTAATTAAATGTAGAGAAGAACTTCTTGATATGAGAAACAGTTTCTCTAAAGCAACAGAGAAAGACTTAATTAGTGGGGAAAATCTGTTCAGAGCAAAACTTACTTTCCTTCAGTATGTGCCTAGTTGATTCCCAGACTGACCACAGACCAGAGTCACTCTTTGCTCACAGACATAAAACTGAACGATTTTAGCAACTAAAATAAACACACAGAGTCAGGCACAAACTTCACAAAGCCAAATTTTTCTGCTATTGTAGGCAGAACTTGGTTGCGAATTTTCTGCAGCTGGCTTCAAACCCTTTTGAGAAATGGACCTTGTGATACTACCAGAGCATGGCAAAAACTATTCTTAGGCAGACTTCAGGGTTAGATAACCAAGAAGGGCCATCCTGGCAGATAAGTGTGGCCTCCCTCAGTACCAGTATGACAGCTCAGTACTCAAAGAAATAAATCTGCTGTGAAACTTCCTTTTTTAGCCCATAACACAGTGGGGCAGCCATGCTCCCTGCTTGTTTTCAGTAAAGCAGTAATGAGTCCTATGTCACTCCTACACAGTTCAGCATTACAGCTGTAGCAAAGGAGGCTCTTCTAATTCTTGGATGCAGGAGGTAACCAGCAGGGATACCCTAGGGGTACGCTGAAGGTAGGGAGAGCAATCAGCTGGGTTTGCAGTTTCAGAAAAATCAGAATCATAGAATGGTTTGGGTTGAAAAAGACCTTAAAGATCACCTCATTCCAACTCCCCTGCTGTGGGCAGGGACACCTTCAAGTAACCCAGGTTGTTCAAAGCCCCACCCAGCCTGGCCTTGAACACTTTCAGGGATGGAGCACCCACAGTTACTCTGGGCAACCCATTCCAGTGTCTCACCACCCTCACAGCAAAGAGTTTCTTCCTAATATCTAGTCTAAATCTACCCTCTCTCAGTTTAAAGCCATTTCCCTCTTGTTCTATCACTACATGTCCTTGTACAATCACTACATGTCCTTGTACAAAGTCCCTCTCCAGCTTTCTTTAGGTACTGGAAGGCCTAACAAGGTCTAGCCAGTTCCTTCTCAATGGTTCCCATATTGTGGTCACTGCTTAAAGGGTGAAATGAGAAACAATTTTCACTTGTACAGTGCTGGACTTACAGCCTAGCACTAAATGTAAAGCTGTGTAAACACTTGCTTACAAAGAATGAATATACTACTACGCATGGATTTAAAAACATTTTGAATTTCTCATTTTTCACAGATCCTTGTGCGGGGGGGGTGGTATATGGTAATTATGCCAGCTCACTGACAGACAAGGCAATTCTTAGGGCATACTAGAGACAAACAATTGTATACTAATGTGTTGCTCTTCTCTTACATACCTACTTACCTTGTACTGTGCCTCCCAATGTTAGCTACTTCATAGACACACACATATATACATACACAGCATATAAAATATATACTAATACAAGACTAATTCTGTATATATTAGAATGAAAATAATATATTTAACCTATCAAATAATTCCTACTTCAACTAATATCCAATAGACAAAGCTATCAGTCTGCAAAGTGAACTGTAATAAGACTTGGGAAAATACAACTTTTGGGTGCAGTTTTGAATCTCCTGTAAGAAAACATTGTGTAATCTAAAAGATGTAGCAACATACCTTCCTCAGCAAAATGCTTCTTCTCAAATAGGGTATATTGGATAAAATAAGTATCATATACACAAATACACACAATTCTATTTAAATTCATCTACAGGTTTTTTTCAGGGTCAGATAATTTCAATGAAAGTTGCTTGACAACTGAAGCTATTTCCTTTGTTTTCATTTAAAAATGAGCTAATATTGTTAATCAATACTAAAAGTTATAAACCAAAATATTGCTAGAATAAAATACAGTAAAAATACAAAGTGCAAACCTCCATTAATCCTCTTTCCCTCCCCACACCCAAATAAAGAGGCTATATCGAAGTACAAAAGACTGAACAAAACTGTCCTGCTAAGCCACAATGTCTTCACTATTCACATCATCTTTGCATTTCAGAAAATATGTAACTGACATCACTGCAGGAATTTACAAGGCCTCCTCCTTTTTACCAGTCCTTTAATGGGAGAAAAGGAGGAGCACATCTAAATTTGGGGGTTCCTTTTAAATATTAATTACTTATTCATAGTTGACAATGATCAGCAGATCTCTTTCTTTGTGGTTCCCATATCATACACAAGACTTTTTTCCAGATACAATCTGCATGCCATGATTTTTTGATATTTCAGTTGGTTGACTTGAAAGTAAATTAAAATAGCTCCTCATAAACCCATTACATAAGCAGTAATTCTGCAATTGGTAATGGCAAAGTTACGTCTTCTACATCTTTGGGATACACCAAGCCTCAGGGTCCCACATTTGATCTCCAGCTTTCAAACAAATTTCTATGTATTTAAAAATAAAGTAGTTTTCCAAACTTACGTTGACTTTGAAGCTTTGTACTGAGCCATCCAAAAAGTGGACGTGACAGATTATCTCTGATCGGGTTTTCTCTTTTGGTAGCTCTGATGCTCGTATGTTATTTATCCTCCCACCTAAGGCTCGTAAACGGGAGTTCATAACTATTGTTGAATAACCTATAAAACAAAAATTATGTTTAATAACAGTTCTTATAATTCTCTATGTTTGATCTATGATTTTTCAGAGTAACCTACAACATCATGAAGACCTCACTACACCCCAAATGAACAAATGCTTGTTACAGAGAAGAATAAGTTGTAAAATTAGTTTGTTGTAAACCAGAATATAAATGCATATATATAGGGGAGCTTCCATGTTCTAACTGTTAACAGTCTCAAGAGAATTACAGATAATCCCACAGTGTATACTTAGATTAGGCATGGGCCACTGCCTTAGTGCAAATTGGTAAAAAATTCCAATCACCTATTATAAAGCAGGAAGATAATGTCAAGACAAGTTTTTATCATCTGTAACTAGTAAATCACTCACTCCCTTATAAATTTCCTACATATTTCTGCATTTATAGTGCAAGTTTAACCACAATAAAATAATTCTGTTTACTCTCAATTGACAAAACAGTTTTGAGTTAATGCAGATCAAGTTCTATCAAGTAACACTTTGTTTTGGGAATATATATACAAACACCATATGTAAGGCAAGCAGAAGCAACCTTAAAACATGTCAATATTTTACAGTCTAACATACATAAATTCATGAAGCCAGACGTTCATATCAGAGAAGAATATGCCACAAAGAAAAAAAAATTGTTGTTCAGGTTTCACCAAAACTCTGAAAACCAGTATCTACAAATTAAAACAAACAAACAAACAAAAATCCCACTAATGAGAAGAAAGCCATTCATTGAAATAAGAGTTGAATTAAATACAGACCAGCCTGTAAACATTTCAAGCCTCTCTCCACTGGATCCGTTTACCAATTAACATCACAGTGTTTAAAGCCAGTTGGCAAGCAAAGAAGAGGATAGTTTTCCAGGTTAATTACCATACCAATTACCAAATCATACCTCACTTATTAGGGGCCAGCTACAAAGAGTCTTGCATAATATGAGTGTTTCCTAGACTGCTGGCCAAGCTAGATAGGTCCAATATCAGGACTATTTTGCAATCTCCCTATATTTGTGTATCTGCCTTAAAACACAGGCTGGCTTTTCTTTTAAGCACCTAAAGAAATGGAATGATTTAGGGGGGGAAAAAATCACTTCAAATACTGAAGAACTGCATCTACGACACATCACTACAAAAGGCAAACATGAAAAGCATGAAAAGCCATGAGATGCAAAATTGTATAAAGCAGGGTTTGGGGGGTTGCAAAGGCAACAAAGCAGCACAGTCATCCATATTCACACAACTATGTGTAATGTATACTCAGAAGCAGCTAAGACAATTGCCTTCTCACAGACAGCTCAGAATTCAGACACACATAAGCATTCAACACTTTCAACAATACTCTCATAGGATGTTTTTTTGTCAGCCAATTGATAGCTAGCTATTGTATATTTTCTAAAATCAGAGCTGTAAGCTGTCAAGACATTTATTTAGTCAGCATTTTGCATTTTTTCTTAGGAGAAGGTGTGGTTTGGGGTTTTAGGTGTTTGTTTGCTTCGGTTTTTTTCCTTTTTTTTTTTAAAGGAGGGGATAAAAAGGAAGGGGTAATATTTAGGAGAATTATGAACAGTATTTCCATATCAACCACCATACACTCCCATTGCTTTGGAATTTTTCTTGATATACAGTCTGCAGTTAGTCACAGTATGTTAATTTCTAATTTTAGTATCCAGGAAATGGGTTTTCTAATTCAGGAGTGGTTGCTGCTAGAGTGGCCAATTTGCATTGGGTTCACAAACGAAAACTTGTAATTCCTTGATTTTTACAATTTCATATAAAATCACACCTGCAACACAGAGTTCATGGTTTGTGTTTAAGGCAAGCAAAGAGTCTCAGCTGAGGCTGTCCTTGAGAGCCAGCTGACCATGGAAACTGCTGAGACAGGGATAAATGGCTGAGTGTTTGGATGTCACCACCATCAGTCAACCAGAGCTCAAGGGGCCTAATCAAACCCCAGGAAACCACCATCCACTAGGAATCCTGAGCAGAGAAAGCCATACCTTGTACTTGTCACCTACATGGTCTTTAGCTTCACTCTGCAGCAAGTAAGCTCCTAAGGGAGGGAGCTATGTTACAGGTGTCACACCACAGGCACCTGCCTACACCATTTTCCACATCCCATCCTAATGTGCCGTAAGCTCAGTAAGTCTATAAGGAAACAACTTGGAAAATTCATAGCCTAAAGGGCAAGGGAAGGAGAACAGGATGGAGGTAAGCAGATGAGTTGTTAGCACCTGCTCTACAGCTTTTCATCTATACATAACCTGTGTTTAAAGCTGTATTTTAAATAGGGCCAGATGACTGAAATGGCTTATCGACCCCAGTGCAATATAAAGGGGCACATGGAAGTACATGAAGCAATCTGCAGTGGCAACTGCTTTTGGGATAGGCAGTGGGGTCACTGAGATCTCTGGCAAGACCGGAAGCCAGCTCTTAAGCACCAGCAATCAGCCTCCAGCCCTGAGCAACCAGGACCAGCCATTACATGCAAATCTCAGCTCCTGCTTTGTAGCCTCAGGCAAGAAGCTGATACACAAATGAAACCAGCAAAAAAACCTGTAAGACAAATTTGAACATTATCAACAAGTCAATACTTTCCCTAAAATAAACATGTCAAATATACAAAGCTGAGAGATATATTTTAATTAAGCAAACAAAAAACCGACCCCAAAACACAGTTATTTTCACCCTAAGGTATAAAACAAATGTGGAATTCTATCCCATAATGAAATCATGCAATAGGCTTACAGGAGAAACAAATACAGCTACAGACAGAAGTTAATGTTTTCCAAGTACATTAAACACATTTCTGGACAAGGTTGGTTATGCATGCCTTCTCCTACTGTAACACTGCAGTCAAGCAGAACAAAAATAACATGTTTTCCTCATCTTTTGTATTGAAGACTGACTTTTAAAAATACTTTTTCCATACCAGCATTTAATTTCTTTCCAACTTGCTTGGAAATTGTTCTTAAAAAAACATAAGACCTGATTCTCAGTATAACTACCATTAACTTCTTTCTCACCATGGAATTAAATCAAGGGAAGATTTGCTGAGTATATACTCAAGGACCTTCTACTTATAATCACGTTATGCATAACTGTGAATGGTCTGTTTTGCTTTGTGCCTTATTTACTTTTTGTTTTGTTGTGGGTTTTTTTTTGTCGTTTTGTTTTGGTTTTTTTTAATAAATCATTTATTACCTTCATTTCACTGGGTAAATGAGGATAATTTACTCCTGCAAGTGTGTACACTCATGCTTTTTCCTAGAAGGGTACTACTTTAATCTAAGTATTCTCAAGAGTTTCTTTGTAGTCTTGACTGAGAATATAGTATAGTTGCACGTTGGCTTCTCAAAAATCATAAATATTACAGAATCCGTGGGAACATCATTTATGAAAGGGTAGTGCTTCTTCCATTTTATGAGTGACCATCCCTGACAATGAAAGGCAAAACTGCAGTAGTAAAGACATGGCCAGGTCTTGTATGTCCTTTCAACAAGAGTTACATTTCATGGTTATCTGTTCCTTCACTTAAATATAACAAATAAATTAAACAGGAGTAGAAAGAGGTATAACAAATTAAACATGTCTTTCTAACAATATATAATCCTAAGACAACCAATAAAAGTGCTCTCTAGCATGCTTCAGCCCAGGTAGCTAAAAATTACTCACCTCAAGGTCATATCTATCAACAGTGCACTTTAATGGAGATTAAATTATTCAATCAGATTTTCCAAAAAGAAGAATTAAGTTTAACTCAATACCTATTGAAACCAGCTTCTGCTTTCCCCTTCTGCAGAGGAAATGCTTCATCTTTTCTACATTCCCAATGAGAAACTACATGTTTTGCCACTAATATAAAATTCAACTCTTCTATTTCACAGGAAAATCCTATGGCATATTTACCACAAAACATTATTTGCAAGTTTCCATACAAATTATTGGGCATTACTAAAGCAACAACCGAAGTAAAAGATAAAGTTCATTTTAAGCAGCGTGTGCAAGTCACCACTTGCTCCTTATCTGTAGTTATTTCCCCACAAAGTTCTCCTGTAAGTTATATAGAAAGTAAATGTGGAAGCCAGAAGCATCATACCATGACGAATTTTGCATCACTTGAAAAAACAAAATAAATTAAATATAAATAGAGAATAATCATGAAAGCCTTAGATGATTAAGCATTACAGCTTACGGTGTAAAAATACCTCCAAACTGAGCTACAAAGAATAAAAGACTTGTTGTAGCAGTCTTACTCAGAATAAGAATAAAGGTTAATATCTACACTGAAAGTCTGTGCATGTGTGTAGACACACATGCAAACGCAAAAGCAGTAGCTGCAAGTTTTCAAACTATCACTTTTAGGACAGAAAGCAATATTATTACAATAAAAGCTCACCACCCTAAAGTTAAAAATGAAGATGAAACAAATTAAAGATTTGGCTTTCTTATACTTGCTTCCAGTGGCTGACACCTGTGATATTTTCAAGCACACCAGAATTATGTCATATAAGTAACCAATAGGTCTTGCAAAGCATTCTGACAATGCTATCAAAAATTGCACTAACAAGGCTTAAATCATTTTAGTTATTAAGTTTCCCAGAAAAATAGAACCTATGGGAAGAGATTCGTTACAGAAAATAAGTCCATATAAGCAAAAACATAGGCATTTAAAAGTTCTATCCTAAACAGGTATAACACATACTGCCAGCCCAATATTTACCAGAACTAGTACAGAACTGAGCAAAGAAAAAACGTTCTTCCATAGTCCAATATAATTATACCTCTTCTTCATCTAACAGACCTTAACGCTGGAGTTCACCCACAAATAATCCTTCAGGGCAGACTGCATACATGATCATACCTCTATTTGTTTATTTAGAATATACTTGAAAGCATTTTAGTTTCAATGAGGGTAGTTACAAGGAAAAGAGACTGGTTTTAAACACAAAAACCAAACCACCAGTAATTTTGAATACTCTTTCCTCTTC